GGGGGGGGGGGGGGGGGGTTTGGGGGCCGAATGAAAAATCTTTTAAGTGTTTACTACGGGCGCTCGGCTGTGTCTTGTCCAACCCTCCCCTCTTATCTCCCCCTCCCTCCCGCCTCCGTGTCCTCGTTTTGTAGCCGCCCATCTTCTCCCCCCCCTCCCATCGTTGCAAAAGAAGAGGGGTCCTTTTCTTCAGATTTTTTTTGGGGGTGTGTGTAGGAGGGGAGGGGGGTCCGACCGACGAAGACTTTCACAGGAGCCTCTCGACACGTCTGGCTCACCGCTGCTTTTTTCCCACCCCTTCCTCTTTCCCAGGAAATTAAAAAGAAAAAAGGAAAAAAAACTTGATTTTGTAGAGTTTTTTTCTTTTTTTTCCCTTTTCCAAATTCACGAACCTTTTCGACCGAGAATCATGGTGCTAAAAAAAACGGAGAAACAAAAAAGAAACGACTAAAAAAGCTTTTTGAGAATCGAAAACCTACCTCAACGGGGGGGTTTTTCTTTCTCCCGGTCTCTCAAAATTCAAAAAGAAAAAAATACAAAATTGCCAAGACGTGTGGTATATATATATATATTTTCCCCCCCTCCCTCTCTCTTCTCTTCTCTCTCTTCTTTCTCTCTCTTTAGGAATGAGAACCTTCCCCCCCTCCCCCCCCATCACATTTTTTAAAAATAAAAGCCAGGGGAAAAAATAAACTTTTTTCATACAGCAAAAAGAAAAAGAGAAAAAAAAAAGAATAATAATAAGAAATAAGAAAAATCTGTGTCGCCACCTTTACCCTTTCTTTTGTATAGCTATTATTTATTCAAAAGGAGACTTACAGTGACCAAAATAAACGTGATCTTGAGTAAAAATAAAAGGCTCGGCTCAGCGTGAAGTTTTGTAAAACGGGCGAGAGGAGAGGAAGAGGCCCTTAACTGGTTTTTACTGGTTCCCGGGCTCTTAAAAAGTCCCCAATTGCCGTTCTATACTGGTTATTATTTGCTTAGGGAAGCTCTTGGAAGTTAAGCAGTGCCCAGTTTTCACGCTTAACGACCATTGCAGCGCCAATATTCGGGCACTTGGCAACTGGCGTGTTACCTTTCCCAATGCAGCTTTTCACAGAGTCAATGGGGGGGAAGCTGGATTCTGTTTTTAACGGCTGTGATTCACTTAACGGCGGCTTAGTTGTCCTCGCTGCTAGGAAGTTTCTCCTCGATTCCAGGTTGTGTTTTTATTTTATAACACACAAAATCCATGTTTGGTTAAACTCTCCTCTGGGTACAAATGGTGTTTACAACGATGTTCATTACATTGATAATTCACTTTATAACAATCCTAATCCTTGCTACTTGCTTATCCGTTTTAACAAACCTCCCTTCTTCATTGGTCCCTTTTTCTTAACATTTCCATGTCTGTTTTTCTCAACCAGCCATGGATAAAATAATCCCCAAGTTAAAAAAGCATCCACTTTCTCCCCTTTATTATCCATTTCTGCACATTCTTAATATTTGTCTTAAATTTCTCACCTGTTGGGGGGTCTCTTCATTTTTCCCCTTCCAATTCCGCAGCCAATACATGTAAAAAAAGAAAATCAAATGTCATTTATTAAATTTCATTGTGTATTCATTCCTCTTCTACTTGCCCAGTAAAACTGCCCAACAAAAAAAGTATTTTTGGCTTTAAATCAATAACCTTGCTCTCATTTTTTGCCAACCCACGTATATTTTTGTCCCCAATATTTTATTTTTATTTGTTCCTTTGGGACGCGTGCACCATATATAACACAAACCGGGTATCGGATGGCATTTCCAACACTTAGCAGGCTTAAAACATCTCTGCCAGTCTTGAGGGTGGAAAAATCCCCTCTATAAAAGCATTTTCTATGCAGTGGACCTCATTGATTTCCCATTTTCTGCCATTTATCTAAATCAGTGTTTCTCAACCTTGGCCACTTGAAGATGTCCGGACTTCAACTCCCAGAATTCCCCAGCCAGCGAATGCTGGCTGGGGAACTCTGGGAGTTGAAGTCCGGACATCTTCAAGTGGCCAAGGTTGAGAAACACTGGACTAGAAGACCTCCAAGGTCCCTTCCATTATCCTGTTTTCCTTCCTCCCTCCCTTCTCCATCACTGGAGGTTTTTAAGAAGAGACTGGAGAAAGATTTGTCTGAAATGGTCTCCTGCTTCAGCAGGGGATGGACTAGAAGACCTCCAAGGTCCCTTCCATTATCCTGTTTTCCTCCCTTCCTCCCTTCTCCATCAACGGAGATTTTTAAGACGAGACTGGAGAAAGATTTGTCTGAAATGGTCTCCTGCTTAAGCAGGGGTTGGACTAGAAGACCTCCAAGGTCCCTTCCAACTCCGTTATTCAGTTGTTTTTAGGGCTGGCCCAGCTTCTCCAGATCCTAAAAAAAGGATTCCAAATAAAGCAATGGGACCCTTCTCCCCTTGTAAAGGGGTCCTTGGAGGTTTACCCTTCTGGGAGGGAAGGGGCTTCAAGGGGAGAAAAGACCCCCGTGGAAGTTTTGCTCAGGATGTGCCCTTTTTTAAAAAAAAATAAGTTATTTTTATTTTTTACAAACATATCAATGCATGGACAGTGTGGCACCTGAGTGAGTGTCATACGTTTTAATACAAATAAATCAGTATTAATCCTATTTAACAAGCTTCTTTAATCCTTAGAATAATACACAATTTTTTAATGAAATTATAATCTCTCGCCATTTAGTCCTTCAATATTTCAATGTTGCATTTCTAAGCCGGTCACCCTATTCTAAATATGCCTTTTAATGCAAACAAAATATTATTAATCGTATTTATAACTTTTGGCAAGCTTAGATAATTCCAATAATAGTACAAAGAGGTGAACAAGAAGCATCAATCCTTCCAATCAGAACTGAGGAAGCTTCTCGCATGAGAAGCAAAATGTCTTCTTCAAAGGGGAAAAAAAAATCAAAAGTCACCTGTTGGGACAGGTGTGTCCTTGGCCCGGCCGTCTGGTGGTGGTGGGGGATTCTGGGAGTTGAAGTCCAGCCCTCTTTGAATGTTTGACAAGGGAAGCATCAAACGTGGCGACTTTAACCCAGGCGGATTTTCGACTCCCAGAATTCCCTGCAGGGGTGGGAGTTGGAGTCCACGTGGCCGAAGTGGAGAAACATGGGTCTAGAACTGGCCTGTCTAGAAAAGTGGGGGGTCTCCAACCTTGGGCACTTCCAGAATTCCCAAGGTTGGAGTTCCCTGGAGTAGAACCCACAACGGGTGGCACCTCCTTTTATCTGTGCCCAGTTAAATTGTGTTTAAGCCTCCGGAGGGGCCGAAGTCCAGGAGATACGACCGGCTGTTGCAAGGACGCAGCCTTGGTGGCAGGGGGAGGATCGGTTCCAAGGGTCATTCCCCAGGCTGAGAGCCCCCACCCCCACCATGCACACACACCCCCAAAGGGGAGGGTAGCGCGTGCCCGTCCTTCCCCAACATTCACCTTCCCTTTCTGAAAGCGAAAACTGCGTCACCTGTGATCGGACCCTCCGTTCATTGGACCCACCTGAGAATCTCAAACCACCTTGAGGTGCGTAATTGGGGGTGGGGTGGGGGAGAGGTGGGCCAAGGGGGCAGAAAAGACCCCCTTCGTCTTCCTCCGGACAGGTCAGTCCTCAATTTTACAACTGCAACCTTTTTGGTGGCTCGGCGAAGACTCTCTACGCCTTCCCGTCGTTAAGCGAATCCCGGCGGTGGTTAAATCAGTCGCGTGGTTGCTGAGTGAAATCTGTAAGGGGATTTCCCCAGCCGTCGTAAATGTGAATCCGTCATCGGGCGTCTTGAGTGTAGATCCCACCACCGCTACGGCTGGAAGGGTGGGGAAAATGGTCTTTTCCGGTCCCGTTGCAACTTCGGTCACTAAGCAGGCGGTTGTAAGTCGAGGACTACCCGGAAGGTGCCAGTGAGGTTTCACCCCCCCCCCTAGTTTGGGCAAAGGAAACTAGCAAACTCGGATGGGGGGGGGACATTCGGGACTCCTGCCAACGCAGAAGCGGGCATAAGAAACTAACTTGGTTACTGCACGGGGGGGGGCGGGGGGTACCTGCTGGGCGAGGGGGGGGATTCCAATTCCCCCCCCCTCTGCTGATGGGGTGGGGGCTCCCAGGGGCATTTGGGCATCTCAAGCCACCCTCCTTCCTCTCCCCCCCCCCAACACACACTGGGCTCTGCTCAAGAACGGAAGCTCTCCATGCATTTTGCCTTCATGGAGAAATTTCGTGCGTGGTGTGCGTTGTGGTGTGTGCGACTCTGTGTGTGTGTGTGTGTGTGTGTGTGTGTGTGTGTGTGTGCAAGGCCTGGCCCTCCACCTGCTATTTTTTTTTGCAAAGCCACAATTCTCTCGGTCACATGCGAGTCAGGCCTCCTCCAAAAGAGGAACGGGAAAAATGCTGATGTGGGACTCCGAAACCCACACAGGACACTGACTCCGATGACCTCGCTCCACGGCCCTCAATGCCCCCCCCTTCCCTGGACTCCGGCCCCTGTCCTCCCCTTCCGGGCGTCCTGGCACCCAGGAGTGGCAGCCTCTGCCCTTTGACCCTCCTCCCCTGCGCTGGCACCCTCCCCCCCACCCCCGCGGGCAGGGAGACAGTGGGGAGGGGGCTTTTGGGGAGACACGGTGGGCAGAGACGAGCCACCGCTTGCCTGCCGTGGTGTTGAGCAGGGGGGGCTGGACTAGAAGACCTCCAAGGCCCCTTCCAAGTCTCCCACACTGTTAAAAGTGAGCTGAGGGGAGCCCACCACTCACTTTGAGCCCATGGGAGGGGGAGGAAGCAGGGGGGGGGGAGAGAGGAAACTGTGGACAGGAGTGGATGCCGCCTTGTTGGCCAGGTGTCACAGCTGCGCATGAGACACCACAACCCGAGCTGTGACTTCTGCCACTTCGCAATAGGGAACAAGGGAAGCAACACCCACCCCCCCCCCCCCCCCCCCCCCCCACCCCCCCCCCCCCCCCAGGCAATTCCCCCCCCCCCCCCCCAAAACTGACTCAGGCTTTGTCAAAGCAGCCAGCCTCACTTCCTTCCCCTTCTCCGAACCCTCCAGGCGGGCAGGGAAGCGGTGGGGAGAGTCTCGTCAGCGTCAGCCCTGCGAGGAAGACCGTCGGAGGGAGCGATGAGGCCGGCCAAGTTCTCGGTGGGGCCCGTCCTGTGGCTGGCCGGCTGGTGGTGCCTGCTGGTGGCAGGTTGGTGGCTGGAAGCGGGGAAGGGGCGGGAGGCTGAGCGGGGTCTTCCCGCTTGAAGGGGCAAACTCACCTTCCCCCCCCCTACAAGACCCCTTCCTTTGGGTCCAGGGGAGGGGGCATCCCTTGCAGGGGACACTCTGGGTGGAGGGATGGGGTCTCCCCATACGCCAAAATAGCTGAAGTGACTTGCCGTAGGAGGCACAATGCAGAGGGAATTGGGGAGGGGGCTTGAGGGTGAGCCTGGATGGGTGGAGGGGTGTTTAAGCCGGTCTGCACACGGATGGCCCCCTGTCCTGTCGCCCCACTGAGTGACGGGTCCCTTGGTCTGCTCTCTCGCAGGTGAGCCCTCAGGGCAGAAGGAGCCCTACTCCCCACAATCGGGCGCTGAGAATTGGCCCCACGCCAACAAGTCAGCCCCGCTGGTGCCCTCGTTCACCAAAGCCCCCACCACCCCTCCCCAAAAGCACACCACGACCCACCACCACCACCGGCACACGACGACCACGCGGCACACGACGACCACGCCCCCGGCCAACCACACGACCCACCACCACAGCACCACACCTCTGCCCACCACCCACACCACTGCCCACCACACCTCTGCCCACCACCCCACCTCTGCCCACCAGAATCATACCAGCCCTCCCCACCCCGCCACCACCACCACCCCTGCCACCAACCACACCTCGGCCCACCACCACGCCACCACCACCGCCGGCCCACAGCCCACCCAGCCGCCGGCTGTGCCCGTGGGAAATTACACCGTCAAGCAGGGCGCCAGCATCTGCCTGCGGGCAGAGATGGGGCTCCAGATGCAGATCCGGTACGCAGACCGAGCCAAGCGGCAGGTGAGCACGGGGGCTTCCTGTGGGTCGGACTCGGGGGGTGGGGTGGTCGGGGGAAGGTTGGGCGGGGGGGCTGGGAGACCAGATCCCGGGGGCTGGCACCGAAATCCACCATTTTTTTTCCTGAGCAAGGCGATTTCCAGAACCGCCTTACGCCGACTTCCTCTCACTCGCTGGGTGTTGCAACTGCATTGCGAGTCTCGCTTTACGACCGTCCTTGGTTAGGTTAGCCCGGCCACGCAGCTGCATTGGCAGAGGGTGTGGGTGGGGGGCTCACGTCTGTCCTGGCAGAGTTATGCAATCAGGATAGAGCTGGAAGGGACCTTGGAGGTGTTCTAGTCTAACCCCCTGCTCAAGCAGGAGACCCTAGACCCCGTCAATCAATC